ATTACTGTGCAATTATTAAATGACATTATTATTGAGTTTTCTTTGTTAAAGGGTTTTGCAATTTACATTAAAGGTGTTTCTTTATGTATAGTATTTCATTGTTAAGGGGTTATTAATTATTGAATTGTATTTCTTGTAATGTTGTGTGTAAATATTTACAAGAGCAAGAGAAGGTTAACTTACTCCTTAACCATGTTACATGTATGGCATTTATTGGTTTTAAAATTGAAATTAATTGTTAACTTAAGGACAAACCTATACTAAAGGAGTGAGGAAAAGTGGGTTAAATGATTATACAGTATGTTTTCCACTATCTTATGCTGGTATAGTATTATTATAAATATGAGTTATTCTGAGTTTGTAAAGTTTTTACATGACACACAATCAAGAAAGCTGTTAAAATTGGTTTTGTTCTAGCTGCCTTTGGTCATTTTTCATTCTGTTGAGGTCACACCTGTTCTGCCCATGGGCAGGAAGACTGTAATGCTGTAAACTGTGCATGAATGTAGACAGCAGTGTCCTTCAGTGGAAGATCAGGTGGTATTTCAAGGTTATGGTCTACCCTATATTTGAATAAGAATGACCAATTATGTGGGTAGCACTAGTTACTCTTGGTAAATCCAATGCTACCTGTGAAGTAAGAAACATTGAATTTAAACACTCTGGTAGATGATCTTAAACTATTCGGGTTTTGAGAAGAAATAATTCTGATCCAAAAGAAGGGAAAATTTGTCATCTATGCAAATACATACACCATTTTTTGTGTTCAACTATAATAAAGTTTGTGCATTTTGTATTTTGCATTGTATCCAGTCTCTTTATTTATTTCTCACAAACTCAGGTATTCAGAGAAATTCAGTAATACTCTGTAATAAATATTTTGTTGGCTCTCCTGTTATTCAGTGGACCTATTCCATTACTAAAGGAATAATAGGTTTTACCTCAATATACTGTTACGACAGCAGAAGTTACGTGATGCTGGTAACACGTGATGAGTTTCTAGAAGGATCATGAAGGCTTGAGTGTTTGCCAGACGCCCTCTGTTTTGTATATATAAGACTGGCAAATAAAGCGGAGAAATTAATTGCAGACAGGGTGATATAGAGACAGATAATCGAGTCAAGTGACTGTAAGTAAAGTGCGTGAATTGTTGTGAATTATAGTGTGTGTTTAAGTTAAAGTGACTGTGGAAATTAAATGTATTACAAAGTTTTTTAATGAGAAAGAATAAACTAGTTTTAATTAAGAAAGGACTTGTATCGCTGAAGTTTCTCGGAAAGAAGTTTTATGGGAAATTAACAAACGACCAGAGACTAACAAATTGGTGTCAGAGAGTGGGACAGAAAAGAAAAAAAAATGGAAACGAGAAGTGGCCAATCAAACTACAATTTAGCAGATTTGATGGCAGCAATACAAGAATAGCAAAAGAAACAAGAAGAAAGACAACAGCAGTGGCAAGAAAACCTGCAACAGTGGCAGCTCAAACAGCAAAATAAACAAGAGAGATTACACCAGTTGTTAAAGGAAAAAGAAAAGAAACAAGAAGAGAGACTACAGCAGTGGTTGGGGGAGAAAGAAAATAAACAAGAAGAGAGACTACAGCAGTGGTTGGAGGAGAAAGAAAATAAACAAGAACGGAGACTACAGCAGTGGTTGGAGGAGAAAGAAAATGAACAAGAAGAGAGACAACAGCAGTGGTTGGAGGAGAAAGAAAAGAAACAAGAAGAAAGTCTCCAACAGTTGAGAGAAAACCAGAAAACACAAATGGAAAAGATGAGTAAATTTCAAATTGACTTAAATACATTAAAGGACGATTTATTGTCTTTTAAACAAGGAGGATATATTAGCCATGGGCCTAATCAGCCCAAACCACAGGAAGCCCCTTCCAGACCTTGCAGCTAAACCCTAATGCAGATATCTTCAGACCTATCAGAAGTCACATTCCAGACATGACTGTCAGCAATAGGGGTGATCTAGTACGGAGAAAGCCACACGAATTCGATGGGAAGGCACCATGGGAAGCATATAGAGCACAATTTGAACTACTGGCAGAAATGAATGGATGGACAGAGGAGCAGAAAGCAGTGTACCTAGCAACGAGCTTGAAGGGACAACCACTGGAAATACTTGGACAGTTGTCAGTAGAACTCTAGAACTCAGGTATGGAACTCAGAATCAGTCCGAAGTCTACAGGGCTAGGTTTAGGACTAGAGTCCGTGCTAATGGGGAGAGCCTGCAAGAGCTAGCACAACACTTGGAAAGTATGGCACACAAGGCCTACCCAACTGCACCACCCAATGCCCTCAAGCTGTTGCTGAGGGATCAGTTTGTAGATGCCTTGGACAGTCCACAACTGAAGATACAAGTGAAGCAAGCACACCCCTCTACTATACAAGATGCAGTGGCCTATGTTAAGTCCAGCACAGAGGCACCAAGGTTGGTACAGTCATCAGGATTCAGGGCCAGAAAAGGGCAGCTCTCAGAGAAGTTTGAGGGACTTTGCTGGTACTGTAACAAACCTAGGCACAAGAGAGCTCAATGCTGGCAACTTCAACACAGGGAAGATGCCATGGCAGGAAAGGCTGCTACTCAGGAAGGTTGTTGAAACTGTGGAGAGCAAGGACATATGAGGAGCCACTGTAAG